CATACCCTTCCCCTGGCACTTCGCCACACGTCTGACGGCCAAGTATCCTTAGCATGATGAATTTACTGTCTCATTCATGAAGATGTTTTTATACTGAGATTTAAACTGTTATGCATCTGATTTACGACGACAGCTGTCTCCATCACTATGGTATATGAAACTCTTTACTCGCTAAACATTAAAAAGTGCTTCTTATACCTGTATCTGAAAACTTATGTAGAATGTAAAGGAAGAATATGTTCTCTGTGAAATTGTGGATCTGTAAACAAAATATTATACTCTCACAAAAAAAAAAGATTTACAGGAGGACAACACTAACATCTGCGCTTCATTTTTACTGTGTTTAACTATAATTATTTAATAAAACCTAGCATCATGACGCTTTAATCCAGGTGCGGCCCCCATCTGACCTGTCACACCATTATTATTGTCCATACTGTTATGTAACCCTAATGACTTTGGCTACACTCAATGACCCTCACTTCTGAAGTCTATCACACTACACACGTGACCACTTCTGAAGTCTATCACACTACACACGTGACCACTTCTGAAGTACAGTCCATCACACTACACACGTGACCACTTCTGAAGTACACTATATCACACTACACACGTGACCACTTTTAAAGTACAGTCCATCACACTACACACGTGACCACTTCTGAAGTACAGTATATCACACTACACACGTGACCACTTCTGACGTCTATCACACCACACACGTGACCACTTCTGAAGTCTATCACACTACACACGTGACAACTTCTGATGTCTATCACACCACACACGTGACCACTTCTGAAGTCTATCACACTACACACGTGACCACTTCTGATGTCCATCACACTACACACGTGACCACTTCTGAAGTCTATCACACTACACACGTGACCACTTGATGTCTATCACACTACACACGTGACCACTTCTGATGTCTATCACACCACACACGTGACCACTTCTGATGTCTATCACACTACACACGTGACCACTTCTGAAGTCTATCAATACACACGTGACCACTTGATGTCTATCACACCACACACGTGACCACTTCTGATGTCATCACACACGTGACCACTTCTGAAGTCTATCACACTACACACGTGACCACTTCTGAAGTCTGACACACTACACACGTGACCAATTTCATGCCCATCACACCACACGTGACCAATTTCTTACGTCTATCACACTACACACGTGACCACTTCTGATGTCAATCACACTACACACGTGACCACTCTGATGTTCATCACACTACACACGTGAACACTTGATGTCTATCACACTACACACGTGACCACTTCTGATGTCAATCACATTTACACACGTGACCACTTCTGATGCTCCATCACACCACACGTGACCACTTCTGAAGTCTATCACACTGACACGTGACCACACTTGATGTCTATCACACTACACACGTGACCACTTGATGTTCATCACACCACACGTGACCACTTGATGTCAATCACACTACACACGTGACCACTTCTGAAGTTCACACTACACACGTGACCACTTGGTCATCACACCACACACGTGACCACTTCCTGATGTCTATCACACTACACACGACCACTTCTAGCTCCATCACACTACACACGTGACCACTTCTGATGTCTATCACACCACACACGTGACCACTTCTGATGTCTATCACACCACACACGTGACCACTTCTGATGTCTATCACACCACACACGTGACCACTTCTGAAGTCTATCACACTACACACGTGACCACTTCTGATGTCTATCACACTACACACGTGACCACTTCTGAAGTCTATCACACTACACACGTGACCACTTCTGAAGTCTATCACACTACACACGTGACCACTTCTGGAAGTCTATCACACTACACACGACCACTCTGAAGTCTATCACACTACACACGTGACCACTTCTGAAGTCTATCACACACACGTGACCATTTCTGAAGTCTATCACACCACACGTGACCACTTGAAGTCTATCACACTACACACGTGACCACTTCTGAAGCCTATCACACCACACACGTGACCACTTTTGAAGTCTATCACACTACACACGTGACCACTTCTGAAGTCTATCACACTACACACGTGACCACTTCTGAAGTCTATCACACTACACACGTGACCACTTCTGAAGTCTATCACACTACACACGTGACCACTTCTGAAGCCTATCACACCACACACGTGACCACTTCTGAAGTCTATCACACTACACACGTGACCACTTCTGAAGTCTATCACACTACACACGTGACCACTTCTGAAGTCTATCACACTACACACGTGACCACTTCTGAAGTCTATCACACTACACACGTGACCACTTCTGATGTCTATCACACTACACACGTGACCACTTCTGATGTCTATCACACCACACACGCCACTTGATGTCTATCACACTACACACGTGACCACTTCTGATGTCTATCACACCACACACGTGACCACTTCTCACACTACACACGTGACCACTTCTGAAGTCTATCACACCACACGTGACCACTTGAAGTCTATCACACTACACACGTGACCACTTCTGAAGTCTATCACACTACACACGTGACCACTTCTGAAGCCTATCACACCACACACGTGACCACTTTTGAAGTCTATCACACTACACACGTGACCACTTCTGAAGTCTATCACACTACACACGTGACCACTTCTGAAGTCTATCACACTACACACGTGACCACTTCTGAAGTCTATCACACTACACACGTGACCACTTCTGAAGCCTATCACACCACACACGTGACCACTTCTGAAGTCTATCACACTACACACGTGACCACTTCTGAAGTCTATCACACTACACACGTGACCACTTCTGAAGTCTATCACACTACACACGTGACCACTTCTGAAGTCTATCACACTACACACGTGACCTCGGCAACAGGTATTGAACAGCACACCAATTTACTCTTGTGTTACCGAGCATTATAGCGGATGTTTTTTGTATGTTATTCAGGATTATGTTGTGAGCGTTGCTTAGTATTTACGTGTTACATATTATTTAATATTAAGGTATTATTCAGTGTCGCGGTGTTACTTAATCTTAAGACATTATTCTGTGTTCAGGTGTAACTTATTTAGTGATATTGTGTTGCTTAGGGTTGAGGGGTTACTAGTATTGAGGTGTTACTTAATGCTGATGGGTTACTTAATATTGAGGTGTTACTTAGAATTGAAGTGTTACGTCCTAATAAGATGTTATTTACTGTTGAGGTGTTACTTACTGTTGAGACATTATTTATAGTTGGTAAATTATTTAGTGTTCAGGTGTTACTTAGTATTAAGGTGTTACTTAGTGTTGATAAATTACTTATTTCAAAAGTGTCACTTAGTGTTGAGGTTTTACTTAATGTTGAGATGTTACTTAGTGTTGAGGTGTTACTTAGTTCTTAGGTGTTATTTAGTGTTAAATTGTTACTTGGAGTTGAGATGTTTCTTAGTTCTTAGGTGTTACTCAGAGTTGAGATGTTATTTTTTCTGAGGTGTTACTTAGTGTTGTGGTGTTACTTAGTGTTAAGCTGTTACTTAGAATTGAAATGTTACTTAGTTTTGAGGTGTTACTTGTGCTGAGGAGTTACTTAGTGCTGAGGTGTTACTTGGTGTTGAGGTGTTACTTAGTGTTTAGGTGTTACATACTGTAGTATTGAGGTGTTACTTAGTATTAAGTTGTTATTTGGAGTTAAGATGTTACTTAGAGTTGAGATGTTACTTATTTCTGAGGTGTTACTTAGTTCTGAGGTATTACTTAGTGCTGAGATGCTTCTTAGTGTTCAGGTGTTCCTTAGTGCTTATGTGTTACTTAGTGTTGAGATATTACGTAGTGTTGAGGTGTTACTTAGTGCTGAGGTTTTTACTTTGTGTTAAGTTGTTACGTAGAGTTGAGATGTTACTTAGTTCTTAGGTGTTACTTAGAGATGAGATGTTGCTTAGTTCTTAGGTGTTACTTAGAGTTGAGTTGTTACTTATTTCTTAGGTGTTACTTAGAGTTGAGATGTTACTTAGTTCTGATGTGCTACTTAGTTCCGAGGTGTTACTTAGTGTTGCGGTATTTCTTAGTGTTGAGGTGTTACTTAGTGTTGAGGTGTTACTTAGTGTTGAGGTGTTACTTAGTGTTGAGGTGTTACTTAGTGTTGAGGTGTTACTTAGTACTGAGGTGTTACTTAGTTCTGAGGTGTTACTTAGTGTTGAAGTGTTACTTAGTGTTGAGATGTTACTTAGTGTTGAGGTGTTACTGCGTGTTGAATGGTTACTTAGTGTTGAGGTGTTACTGAGTATTGAGGTGTTACTTAGTGTTGAGGTGTTACTTAGTTCTGAGGTGTTACTGAGTGTTGAGGTGTTACTTAGTTGAGGTGTTACTTAGTGTTGAGGTGTTACTTAGTGTTGAGGTGTTACTTAGTGTTGAGGTGTTACTTAGTTCTGAGGTGTTACTTAGTTTTGAGGTGTTACTGAGTGTTGAAGTGCTACTTAGTTGAGGTGTTACTTAATATTGAGGTGTTGCTGAGTATTGAGGTGTTACTTAGTGTTGAGGTGTTACTTAATTCTGAGGTGTTACTGAGTGTTGAGGTGTTACTTAGTTGAGGTGTTACTTAGTGTTGAGGTGTTACTGAGTATTGAGGTGTTACTTAGTGTTGAGGTGTTACTTACTTCTGAGGTGTTACTGAGTGTTGATGTATTACTTAGTTGAGGTGTTACTTAGTGTTGAGGTGTTACTGAGTATTGAGGTGTTACTTAGTGTTGAGGTGTTACTGAGTATTGAGGTGTTACTTAGTGTTGAGGTGTTACTTACTTCTGAGGTGTTACTGAGTGTTGAGGTGTTACTTAGTTGAGGTGTTACTTAGTGTTGAGGTGTTACTGAGTATTGAGGTGTTACTTAGTGTTGAGGTGTTACTGAGTATTGAGGTGTTACTTAGTGTTGAGGTGTTACTTACTTCTGAGGTGTTACTGAGTGTTGATGTATTACTTAGTGTTGAGGTGTGTGTGTGTGTGTGTGTCGTGTACTGTCATATGTGGTGCAGATCTTGTTGGAGTGTCTTAGTGTTACTGTACATAAATTTTACTGTTACCCCGCAAAGAACAACAGTTTTCAAACCATGTTTCAGCAATAGACAATATTTATTCGGACAAACTTTTTATTAACATAATTAGCCCAATTGTATATTTTCTTCTATTAAATATGTTTTATAAATTAACTGCAATAACTACCAGGAATATACTGGCATTTTCTCTTCGAGTTCAAAGGTATAATAATCAACAGCAAAAGATGCTATTATTTATAAAGACATATCCAGATGGTCACCAGTCATCATTATCATGTCAGAGGTGGTCCATTACAGCACCACTGTCTTAGCCTTTCTGAGAGAGTTGTCTACACTGGCGGAAGGTGTGCGCGCAGTAGTGGCCAGGCAGAGGGGTCACTCACCTGTAGAACCAACTTGTCCTCTCACTACTAGCAAAAATTTATATTAGATGAGTATAATAAGTAGCGCCAGAGGATCAATCACTGCCATAGTCCCACGGAGTGGTCACTGCACTTAGTATAAAGACATATTAGAAACGATGCTGTCTTGTGGGATGCGAGATGACAAGACTGGCAAACGACGATCTAGACCAGGACATGGTCATCTGGGGATGTGGCAACAGGAATGGCAGCTACTGCCGCAGGTGCTACTGCTGGAGGTTCGAGGGTCTCTCGCGGTGACCTTGTTTCCGACAGGCTGCGGGGGCCAGGTTGCAGCTTTTGGGTGTCTGTCTGGTTGGACGAGTCTATGCAGGGTGGTCGTCGCCGCCCGCGGGTCCTTCCGCGGGTTTGGCCGCCAGCCTCTGTGCCAACACCACCCATGCCGCCCGTGGTAGGTGGTGCCGCAGGTGCCCCGGGAAGCTGTGCCATGCCACCTTGGAACATGTCAGTTCGACTCTCCCAGACTCCTCCACCACCTACGTCTGTCACACCAGGCGACACAGCGTGACCTTCCCGGGGAGGAGGTAAGATACCCAGCGGTAAACACACTCGGTACGGAACGTAACCCTCCGCCCCGTGCGCTGTACGGACGTATAACCAGTCCCGTGTTTTAAACACAGCATTAACAATTATTCCTAGAGGCAAGAAAGGTCGAACAGGCTGCTGGTTGTGTGGGCGCGGCTCAGGCGTGCGACGCATGTTATGGAGGCGCGTGGAGGAAGCCAGGACCATTGGCAGGTTGGCGGGGCGGGAGGGCGAGGCTTCGGTAAGTAGGGCCTCCAGGTCACTCACCTGGTAGCCATACGCCACACCCTCGCCAGGCTCTCGTCCTGGTTCTAAATTCTCGTAACAGCCAGCAAGGCGGGCCAGGACTCCGCCCACCATACCCACACCTCCACCAGGCTGCGATGACCCAACGGGAGGGGAGTATGGCTGCTGACCACCGTGGCCACTTCCTCCCGGGGGAAGGGAGGTGGGAGGCACATTTGTGTTACCTGGTGGGCGGTCCCCCGGGGGTGGGCGTGGGCGGTGTTGACGGGATCTGGAGGCTGATGAGCAACGAACCCGACGATCGCTGCCGTTGCCCGCGGGTCCTCTGGGCTCACTGGAAGCACTGCGCACCCGCGCTCCCTCACTCTCAACGGGAAGACTACCAACAATACACCCTACACCCACGCCCACACCAGAAGACATTGTGACACCACCTGGTGGGTCTAAAGGAGGTTGAGAAGGCCATGGATGTTGGGGGTTGTGCCGCCAGCCGCTCGTAGTTCCTCCAGTGGCACCGCCTCCTGACACCATGGACTGGGTAGGGGCAGCCCCTAGTCCCTGGGGGGCAGCCCCCAGACCCTGAGGTGTTACTGGTGGTGGAGGGGGCCTGGCGTCTCGGCGGCGTGAGCGGGCGTCGCCCATGTCGAGGTAGTGATGGTCACGGGTGCCGAGCATGGCAGAGTGGTGGGTGAATGGGGTGTCGGCCAGAGTGAGATCGGCCACCACGTCCGGGAGTGTTCCCGCCCAGTCACACTTGTCACCTCCGTTGCCGTCGCTCCCACCGCTGCTGCTGCTGACCTGCAGGAGACAAGCTATGTCACTACGTAATCCAAAGTATAAGTTAACTACTTAAAATAATGCGAAATGGGTTAAGTTTATAATCTAGGCATAAACAATACAACCGGCTAACTAGCTAAGAAAAAGTGTTATTACACGAACAAATAGTATAAGCTTCTATTAAATTTGTGTTAAAAATTTTACAAAACTCAGTAAAAGGGAGAAGCATCACATCATTATACCTACCACTATCTCTAACATCGCCGTGATCACTGTCAGAACTTCCACTATGAAACTATATCGGAGAAAACTTAACAAGACTGGCCATGATATTACTCACTGTGCTTTGTACACACACTGTGCACAAACCCATTTATCACTATAAAAACACACACACACTCACACAAGACAAGAGTCGGTCAAAAGCAATACGCCAAGGCTCCAGGTGTTGGTAACGTAAAGTTGAATGATTTAGTATTTGTTTCAGTTAATTTGATTTCTGTGTTAAAACTTATTGCTTCAGAGCAAGAGTTTTCACTATATTAGGGAAAATTGCATTTATTGGCAAAATTGGGCACCGGAGTGTCATAAAATCTTTAACAAAAGAATGTTCCACAGCAAAGGATGTTCATCGACACATCGTGGCAGATGCCCTATGGGCCAAGGATTTAAAAAAATAGGCGTGAGAGCCTTGAGAATAACCCCTGTAATGACGGCTTTCAGATGCTACATCAATGGTGATGCAACTGTAACCCAAGTCGAGAGCACTGTTATAATGGGCCGGCCTATCAAACCCTAAGATGGGTTTCCTTAAGCCTCAGCACCCAGGATCGTCACCAGAGGATGGCTTCAAGTCTCAAGTTCCTTGAACTGTCTGGTGATGGTAGGTGAGACCTGAATTCTTCAATTGACCATCGAAATAAACATGGAATCCATGCAATGGAAGTAGCTAAATTCTCAACCACAGAGATTCAGAAATTAACCCTTGGCGGAAATTTCATAGGGACAATATGCTGATCCACACCTGAGGGAGCTACTCTCAGCTGAAGGAGGCTACAGAGGTGTGGTATAAGAAGCAGTCGGCAAACTTCATTAAAACTGACAAAATGAATTTAAAGGTCGAATGGAATTAATATATTAAAGTCGAGTAACACCATGATCACCACTAACACTATGATCACCACTAACATCATGATCACCACTAACACCATGATCACTGATCACCACTAACACCATGATCATCACTAACACCATGATCACCACTAACACCTTGATCACCACTAACACTATCATCACCACTAACACCATGATCACCACTAACACCATGATCATCACTAACAGTATGATCACCACTAACACCATGATCACCACTAACACTATGATCATCACTAACACCATGATCACCACTAACACTATGATCATCACTAACACCATGATCATCACTAACACCATGATCACCACTAACACTATGATCATCACTAACACCATGATCACCACTAACACCATGATCACCACTAACACCATGATCACCACTAACACCATGATCACCACTAACACCATGACCACCACTAACACCATGATCACCAGAAACACCATGATCATCACTAACACCATGCTCACCACTAACACCATGATCACCACTAACACCATGATCACCATTAACACCTTGATCACCACTATCACCATGATCACCACTAACACCATGATCACCACTAACACCATGATCACCACTAACACCATGATCATCACCAACACTATGATCACCACTAACACCACTACTAACACCATGATCACCACTAACACCATGATCACCATGATCACCACTAACACCATGATCACCACTAACACCATGATCACCACTAACACCATGATCACCACTCAACACCATGATCACCACTAACAATGATCACCACTAACACCACTGACCACCACTAACACCATGATCACCAGAAACACCATGATCACCACTAACACCATGATCACCACTAACACCATGATCACCACTAACACCATGATCATCACCAACACTATGATCACCACTAACACCATGATCACCACTAACACCATGATCACCACTAACACCATGATCACCACTCACACAATGATCACCACTAACACCACGGTCATCACTAACACCATGATCATCATTAACACCATGATCACCATAAACACTATGATCACCACTGACACCATGATCACCACTAACACCATGATCACCACTAACACCATGATCATCATTAACACCATGATCACCATTAACACTATGATCACCACTAACACCATGTTCACCACTAACACCATGATCACCACTCACACCATGATCACCACTAACACCATGATCATCATTAACACCACGATCATCACTAACATCATGATCACCACTCACACCATGATCACCACTAACACCATGATCACCACTAACACCATGATCACCACTAACACCATGATCACCACTAACACCATGATCACCACTAACACCATGATCACCACAAACACCATGATCACCACTAACACCATGATCACCACTAACACCATGATCACCACTAACACCATGATCATCACTAACACCATGATCACCACTAACACCATGATCACCACTAACACCATGATCACCACTCACACAATGATCACCACTAACACCACGGTCATCACTAACACCATGATCATCATTAACACCATGATCATCACTAACACCATGATCATCATTAACACCACGATCATCACTAACATCATGATCACCACTCACACCATGATCACCACTAACACCATGATCACCACTCACACCATGATCACCACTAACACCATGATCATCATTAACACCACGATCATCACTAACACCATGATCATCATTAACACCACGATCATCACTAACACCATGATCATCATTAACACCACGATCATCACTAACACCATGATCACCACTCACACCATGATCACCACTAACACCACGATCATCCACCGATCACACAAACACCATGATCACCACTCACACCATGATCACCACTAACACCATGATCATCATTAACACCACGATCATCACTAACACCATGATCATCACAACACGACGATCATCACTAACACCATGATCACCACTAACACCGATTACCACTAACACCATGCACTGATCACCACTAACACCATGATCATCATTAAACACCACGATCATCACTAACACCATGATCACCACTAACACCATGATCATCATTAAACACCACGATCATCACTCACACCATGATCACCACTAACACCATGATCATCATTAACACCACGATCACCACTAACACCATGATCATCATTAACACCATGATCATCATTAACACCACGATCACACAACACCATGATCACCACCAACACCATGATCATCACACCACACGATCACCACTAACACCATGATCATCATTAACACCACGATCATCACTAACACCATGATCATCATTAACACGACGATCATCACTAACACCATGATCACCACTAACACCATGCACTGATCACCACTAACACCATGATCATCATTAAACACCACGATCATCACTAACACCATGATCACCACTAACACCATGATCATCATTAACACCACGATCATCACTCACACCATGATCACCACTAACACCATGATCATCATAACACCATGATCACCACTAACACCATGATCATCATTAACACCACGATCATCACTAACACCATGATCATCATTAACACGACGATCATCACTAACACCATGATCACCACTAACACCATGATTACCACTAACACCATGCACTGATCACCACTAACACCATGATCATCATTAAACACCACGATCATCACTAACACCATGATCACCACTAACACCATGATCATCATTAAACACCACGATCATCACTCACACCATGATCACCACTAACACCATGATCACCACTAACACCATGATCACTACTAACACAATGATCACCACTAACACTATGATCATCACTAACACCATGATCACCACTCACACAATGATCACCACTAACACCATGATCATCACTAACACCATGATCATCATTAACACCACGATCACCACTAACAGCATGATCATCATTAACACCACGATCATCACTAACACCATGATCAGCACTAACACCATGATTACCACTAACACCATGCACTGATCACCACTAACACCACAATCATCACTAACACCATGATCACTACTAACACCATGATCACCACTCACACAATGATCACCACTAACACTATGATCATCATTAACACCACGATCATCACTAACATCATGATCACCACTAACACCATGATTACCACTAACACCATGCACTGATCACCATTAACACCACAATCATCACTAACACCATGATCACTACTAACACCATGATCACCAGTAACGAAAAATCTGTGGTGGAGCCCTGCATCAGGCAGACATGCTTACAGAGCTCCACAAAACCCCAATGGCGGTATAGGCGGAAGAGGTGACCAACATGGGAACCCAACGACTACACCGGCGGACGAAGGCAATGCCTGATGGACAGGCTACTAAGGCAAAACCCAATAAACTGGTCTATCGGTAGTCCATTGCAACTCTCCTTCTCCCCAGTCATCTCAACACTTGCCCCACTGGATCAGGAAAAACGAGAGCCAAGACTTGTGGTTGTAGCCTGCGCTCCTGCCTCACCACAAAAATCAACTCATGCACAGCTATCATCCAGTTATCATACTTCTCGTCATCATCGAAACCCCTATACCCCCAAAAGTCTTGTGTCGACGGACGAGGGGCGACGGGAACAGGCAGAGATGACTGCCGGGAGTCTCTAGTCACAACTCGGCACAGGAACGGCACAGATAAGACGGTCGTATATGCACTGGGATCCAGGCAGCAGTGCACTCCGATCCTGTCTGCGTGACTGAGGAGCCCTTTCGAGGAGCCACTCTGCTCACACCATATGGGGATGGGGCTAGAAAAGGTGCCCTAAACATAGCCTGCCTAAAAAACCAACCTGACTGGGCAACCGCACCCAGTAAGGTCATCTTTATGCGGTCGAAAACAC